GACCCTAAAGGTCCTACATACATAGGGTTTATATGGGACTTATATAGGGTTTGTATGGGGCTGTATACCGAGAAAATAGGGTTCACACAGGGATATAACTATAGGGATGGTACCCCATCAAATGGAAAATAGAATTGACAAAGAGAGTGGAAAACAAAATGGAAGCTGTTTGCGTTTTTTTCATACTGAATGCAAAGTTCGGTTATATAGTATAGGCATCTTATGGGGTATACGGAGATCATAGGGAGGGTTAAGTCACGATAATGGTACATGAAATGTAAAGGCAGACGGGAAATGAAGTGGACACACGGAGCTTTTAGGACATATGGGGAATATGGCCGCGCAAGGAAAAGAAAAGGGATTGGGATTTGGGGCTTAAGGATATGACCTCCAAAACACCATGGTAAGAGGAATGGAAGCCGCAAGTATCTGGGAGTATATTAGGGATTGCATGGCTTAAATTATAGGGCCGAAGGTTTCGCGCTTACCGGGTTTTTCAGTTTTGGGTCCGGTTGGGCAGCAAAGCCTGCGCAGTTACAATTTGGAGTTTAGGGTTTGTGGCGTTTGTGGAGATCTTTACGAACCCCAATGTAACGTACTACCTATTACTACCGCTTCCGACTATACGGAGCTGGCGTTGAAGATTCGCCCTACGCTTGTTTTAATTCTTCGTGGGACGAAGTTGCTGGAGATGCGCAGCCACGCTACGCCTACATTGGCTGTCGATGGCCTCTCGCCTGATCCGCCGACGAGCGCGGGTCCGCGCGCACCACCCGCTCACGCAGGCCGAAATGCCTGATGGCTTCAGGGGCTTTGAAAACATCGCTACCAGCCGCCATTGGATGTCAGGTTCACGGGTTCAGGGGCGGAGGCTTCTTATTCTATGTACAGAACTGCCATGGCTTAAGAGCTTTAAGCCAGATTTGATTCTTTGAGGGTTTTCAAATGTTCTTTCACCCAGTTCTCAGGACTTCGCCCCCGTTCGCAAGGGTCTTCGCGAGCTCAAGTCGGGGCCGCGGATCGCAGAAGTACGGCAGTAGACGCCCCCAAACGACGGCGGAACCAGAAAAAGGGGGGGCATAGTAAGACTGTTCTTTCTTCATAAAGGTGCTATATGAGGTTGTATGTTATCGTTTGGGGAGGGTATTTGCCATGTGATTTCCAAGTTCTTGTCGAGAGTGTGGAGTCTGAGTGTTCGAACACGTGCCGGAGTTTGAGTCTAGTCAAATACAGATTGAAATCAACAACATGTTGGGCTAGGTAGGCCGTGAATGTGGGCCTGTGCCGGTGCAAGGTAGTGTACCACAGGAGCCTGAAGCTACCAACATTATTCCCATGTAATCCTTATCTAACCAAGTACCATGCAGCCCAAACAAGGTTATTCAAATGGTCTTGGCCACTACGGGACACCAGATTTAGAGGATATCTACGGGTTTAAAAAAGTTTTGTATGCTCAGAGCCTGCCAGAGTAATGGGTGGACTTTCTTGGCTTCAGGGCGTCGGAGAGTTCGCGGGTAGTTAGGGTTGGCTTATTTAGGGTTTACGGTTTCGGGCTTGTGTTTCAGTATTTATCACGGGAGTTCAGGTTTAGGGTTTAGGGTTTAGGGCTTGGCATGTAGGGGTTATTTACTCATAGGACTAAAGATCCCTGGCTGACCTCGGAAGCAACAAGGAACCTGAACACTGTGCCCCCAAATTCCTACTTGAATACGAAGAAAAGTAGAGATTAAATCGATAATCTGAAGCACAAGCCTTGGGCCTTGATCCCATCTCATATGCACATACTTCCAGTTCGAATCTCATGCTTTCCTGGAACGGATGCTGCGGGTAAACGTATTGAGAGGCAGCTGTGCCCGGATGCTGTGTTATGTACAGCTGTTTAAAGATACTTCCAACTCTAATCGACTCTGTGTGTGGAGGGAACAAGTTTCAGTACCATAAGGTTTAGGGCTGAGAACTTTGGGCAGCGCTAGGCCCCTGCATTGCAGGTCCCAGTTTTCATTTCATGCTCCATGTTTTTCCATCTGAGTCTCCATCATGGGTAATTACCTGCTTCATTTCATCCTTATTTACTATGAACCCTAACACCTACGTGAAGCAAGGTCAGTATGATTATGGTGTTTGGTGACGACAGAGTAGGTTCTTTAGAGACATTGGTGAGTGTTATATATATATATACACAGTCAGATACAATGCTGTCCAGTTTGGGGAACCACAAATCAGAATCTGCCATTTGACTTGTGCAAAACTTCTAATAAGCCCAGCATCCTGGAGCGACGTGGAACTCATACAAGGTCCTGTTTTTTTGAACAGTAGTGCATAATGGGCAGCGTTTATTCCATGCCCTGGCAGAGAGTAGGCACAGTAGAACCACAAAGGTGACTCCGCACAGGGCATGGACTTGAGCCCAAGAGAGTCAATGTAGACCGCTAATCAATAAACTCCCTCCCCTTAATGGGGATGATCATAGGGATCCTAATACAAAGGTCCTTGAAAGGAGGGGATTTATTGATCAGGGGTCTACATTATGTTTAAGGTCATATCCCCTAAGAGCTCATTCCCTGCCTCAGATAGGGTCTCCTTTCTGCTATAAGAATGGTAGCAATGTAATGGTAACAGCTTCTTCACACTTCACGGACCTCTTGCGCATCGAAAGTCAGTGAATCCAATTATATACGCGTAGAGTCTGGCAACGAATTGCCCATCAAATCTCCGCATTGCGGGCAGTCTGCTATTGGACTGGTGATCTCATCAAACACTGCTACGTGCCTCACGGACACGGTGGCCTAAGAGTGGCTACCCTCAACAATGAGGACCACCTCAAAAGGCACCCCGACCCCATACATGATCGAGTGTGACCTGAGCGCTACCCCCCTTCCCAGCAACTGGACAGTTTGACTGTCGCTGTCGTCGCCAATCACCTAAGCTAAACCCCTCATGACTCCACTGCGCGGCGGGGATCCGAAGGTTGGTCCTGCCCCTAGTGCCTCCAGACAAAAGTGGATGAAACCTAGCGTCTGATGAAGAGGACTGTGAGGTTGTAGTGCGAATACTAGGACATATTTGCCGCCTTTCTTGGCTTTGAACCAGGAGCATTCCTGAATCTCGGGCTGCATGAGAGCTGGGGTCGGATATTCCTTGATGAGTGCTTTCAAGATCTCCTGCTGCGCCGCTATGCTGGGCATCTTGGCGAGCTCCAAGTTGCGGTTGCGCCTGATGAGTTCTGTCTGTTCGGCCGCTCCGGCCTTCGACAGGTCGCACTCGGATCCCGCCAATGTTGTCCGCCTGTGCCCATCTGGATGCGCCTTGCCCTTGCCCGGATGACGACAGTCGTAGGTCTGATGAGCTGCTTGCATGGCAGGGACCAACACACTCTCTGACTCCTGCAGGAACCACGCCCGTGCACGAACCTCGAGATTGCGGAGGCGAGCGTCGAGGCTCAACATGGCCGAGCTGTGCGGGCCATCCTCCCCCTGCTCCCTGCGGCGGCGGCGCGGGGCTGGCTCCCCGGTCTGAAGCCACATGGCGTTTGGAGCACACTGCTAAGAAATGCCGCTGCGCAGAGCCAACTGTGGCAAAAGAACCGAAACACACCGGACAGTAGGCTGAGGTGATGTGAGCCGTGCTCTCCCTGCGGGCATGGTGAGCCCTTACCCGATGCATGTGTAAAGCTCGCTTCGTCAAAAATTGGGAGGGGCAGTCAGCACATCTGAAGGAATATCCGGCTGTGTCAAACACAAATCCCTCAGGCTCATCAACGAATAAGCTCTGGTCCCCACCATGGAGTCCACTTTGCGTCAGCGACGGCTTCTCTGGTTCCAGAAGGTCGTAGCTCATCCAGGTCATCACGTCATGTATTTGACTTCCTTGTTTGGACATTTTTCGTGGGAGCCCCTACATACCGAGCTGGATGAATGTGGAGTCCCACTTCCTGCTGCCGTGCCTGCCTTGCGTCAGCTACACGGTGATCTTTGCGTAGGACTTCCAGGTTTCACTTGTTTCAGGGGTCACTGGCAATCTCAGCTCCTTGCAGTGCAAAATCAGTTTGCGCATGTGCTCTCCTATCGACGTCCAGACCGCAGTGTTCAACAACCGCATCCTGAGGTCCGCCTTTTTCCGCAAACTATGGCTAGGCACAGATTTGTGTTCACATGACCCCGCCACTGCTCCCCATCCATCGCGGCCAAAGATGCGCCGCATCAGCAGATCGCGAGCGACTTCCAGACGATCCATATCTGTCTGCGTGAGCACGTACGGCTCCAGCCCCGCTAAACCAGCCGAACTAACCACGGCCTTGAAGACAATCCGCTTAATCCGAAAAGGGACCCGACTACTGCTCCACAATCCATGGAAAGCATAAAACCCAGTACGCATGGCGCCGATGGTAACAGCAATGGTAGTAACCACATTACTATCGATCTAGAAATGGTGATCGTGCCTTGCAACTTTTGCCCTCCCACATGGAGATTTCCCAAATTAGTGGTACCATATTGGGGGTCCCCAGTATAATTGAGGATTATAGTATTTTGGGTTCCACATTGGGCCCCCTGATTTAGGCAAACGACCATCCATGTCTGTGTCCTCGTGGAAAAAGCAGGGCGTTGGCTAAGAAGCGCCAGCAACAGCAACGCTCTGAACTTGTGTTTCGAGTTGGTACACGGTTCCATCACAGCAGCAAACAGCAAAGTGCGCTAGGTTCTTTTGAATATCACAAGCATAGTTTTTGTTTTATGAAATCTGCTTGTGCTAGGGAGTCGCCTGGCTATCATTGTAGCCGCATGAACCCAGAGATCTACTAAACCCTGAACCATGTAGCCTGAATTCCAAACCCTCAATCCCAAATATGAGCCCGAGGCAAGGAATCCGAGTTGCCATGCAAGATGGCCAGGCATCAGCCTCGATACATGCACTAGGCACCTGAAACCTCAGTACGGGGATTTTCGCTATTGAAGTGCCTACAAGGCCTTCGAGTTTGCTGGGCGCTACCTGCAGGAATTTCAGGGGGTATGATATTGGCAATGCATGGGCAACATAGGAATGAAGCGAACACACGCCGGTTGCCCCCCCCTCTAGTTCAAGTTTGGGATCACGGTATGAAGCCTTGCATGAAGCTGATCGTCCCATATTTCTCTTGGTTCAGGCAGCAGATCAGAAGCCTGCTCTTTCTTCAGGTCGATAAGTTTTCTAGATAAGTTCATACGTACCTGATGACTCTTTCAGATGTTGGCCTAATCTAAACAGACTTCTGGGCTAGAATGGATTGGCCACAATCTGCATGGGTCTCCTCTGGGCCCAACAAGTCAAGAACCCGCGTGGCTTGGATCTCATATCCCATATACAGTCAGACATGGGGGCATGTCGTAGAATTCCTAGCTTTATGCAGTCAACTGGACCTTGCAGACATCTTGGACATCAGCGCCAAGTGTCTTGTTGGGCCCCTTGACATCCGACAAATATGCGGTTGTGTTGTACCTGCGCCCAGTTGAAAGTTTTCCGGACTTCATGTCCAAGACATGTATGAGAAGATTGTGAAATGTGGTCCTTTCTGCATTCTTGGATACACTAAGTTTTAGAGGCCGTAATACACTGGGAACCCAAAACCTTAATCTTGACAAACCCACCCCCCCATGCCCTTGGAAAATCTACAGGGTCTACAGAAACATGTGGGTGGTTGTCAGAATTATGGTCCTTTTTTCGGTGCCCTAAATATTAGGTGCCGTATTATAATAGGGACCCAAAAGGGGACCATAATTTTGACAACCACCCATGTCTCGGCAGCTGGTGGCAGAGCTGGAGCTTCGCCTTCGTAAACAGTGTAATTGATACAGATACCCTAGGCATCCAAATAGCCCAAAGTAGGCAGTATCATAGACCTTACGGCGCAAAGTAGATGTTGCTCATAGACTTATCATATGCCGAGGGATAGAGAGCTAAGGCAGAGATCCCTAGGAATAGAGAGTTAAGTCAGAGATCCCTCACGTTTTTTCAGAACCACGGTTACACATCTGGTCACACAGACAATCTGATATCCTTTGTTGTGCCTACCCGGGTCCCTTACATGAGAAAGACTGAGGGAGTGGGGTCCGCGTTGCGGTGATTAATTCAGGTCCAATGAACCAAATAGTAGGGCTTTAGGGCCCAAATATTGTAATGTTAATGGTATTTGGTCCCTATTTTATCTGGGTCCTTCGACCCTTCTGGTAATAATCTGGTAATAATTGCTTCATGCCGTTGTCACACCGCAAGCAAAGGACATGCCACGACATTGTTTTGCTTTTAGCAGCTGCACGGTCCCTTGAAGAGAGATAAATCTGAGCATGCTAGATTGCAAAGACTAACCTTGTAGTGTCGGTCACAGTCAAGCATGGATGGCAGGTTCTGAAAATCACGGTTTCTTGCAAGCAGTCTGTACTTCAGACATGTCATCATAGGGGCCCGAACACATATAGTTCAGTGATGCGTGGGGAATTCCATTTTGAACTCAGGAGCCCTCGTTCTACGATCCAGGCCAAGGGCTGTGCTATTGTGCTGCATCTCGTTGCCGCCTCCGTTGTCTGGTCTATTGCTTCTTGATTTGTTTACTGGAGTTCCAAGTGCAGACAATAGAGAGGGGGACAGCATGCACAAGAATCATGGCGTCCGCTAAGCAGCAGCGATTGCTGGCAGGAAAAGCGGTAATGTTTTGGTGACAAGAATAATTAACCCTCCCCCCTAGAACTTGTTTTGCGACTTGGGCTTACGGAAGAGGGGGGGTTGTAATAAGAAATGACGGGGACATGGGTAGGACCAGGAAGTGCAGCTCGTAATACTAGTAGGACAAGAAGTTCGTGAATCCGCTGGGAAAAACAAGTTCAACATGACATGGCAGTCTTGCCCATTCTGGCTGGCTGTGGCCCTCTTGGCATTTCGCAGCCACAGCGATTTACATTAAACAGTCCAGCGCAAGCTGCTCTGCGTACAGTCATGTGGCTAGTGTCCAAGCACCTCATGTGTATCTGGGCGCTGGAAGGTGGAAAGCTTGCCTTGGCTTCGCTGTAGCCGCAGAGACCTAGCTAGACAGCCAGCAAGAATCTGATCATGCACGATTTTCTGATTTCATGGAGTCTCGAGTGCTCCAACCTGGCCGGCCCACTTGGGCTGGCTTGGCCCGAGCTGACGACAACTGGTGCAACAGGAAAACATCAACATTCATCAAACGGAAATTCCTGTGCACGCCATGGCTGTAGGCTATAGCCACGACAGCGCTTGCAGGCCAGCGCTTGCAGGCCAGCACTTGGGTACCTCTCTGCTTTCGCTTCAGATTTTACTGGTAAAGCGCTAGGAGCAGAAAAAAGATAGGCACTATAGAGGAAAGTTACTTAGGTACGAAATAACTTCGGAAATCGGCCGACAACAACTTCTGAAAGTGCTACCCACCGTGCTTCCGCGGAAGGTCGCGGAAGCCTTTGTGGAAGCAGTTTGCTTGCGGAAGCTCTTGGGGAAGCTCTTTGTTCTTTGGACGGATAACGACGAAGACTGGAAATAATTTTCGCGGGAGCGCCGCGGAAGCGTCCGCGGAAGAGCCCGCAGAAGCACAGCGTCGGAAAACCTGCCAGCAGCCTTCGCGGAAGGTCCACGGAAGGTCCGCGGAAGCTCCCGGGCGGAAGCCTCCTTTTTTGCCATTAAATTCACACTTGTTCAACGCGCCCCTTTGTAGCAAGAGGAAAGCATCCTTGCATGTTTCCGTGCAGCCTTGCGGGGTCCCTGTCTTTGCAATGGATGCAGGCAATTCATGAACGCCCTGGCTGCAGAGATGCAAGCCGATGACCAGCGTGCGAGTGGTTGCCTGTTCAGCATCTAGATAAGTTTTGTTGCACAGCGGCAGGCCCCATGTTTCAAGCGTGATGTTTGTGTCAGGTTCTGTTCAAGCGGCTTCCAGTGAAGCAGCAAATCCAGCCGCGACGAGTCTGGTTTTAAAGCGACTGCCGCCAAGATGCTCGGCAATGACGCTGCTTGCAGCGCTGGACGTGATATCACCAAGGCATCTTCAAGCTTTGTAGCATTTTGTAGCCATGCATCCTTAGGTTATGAGCAGGCTGTTGCAAGTGCACGGAGGCCGCCAGGCTGCGTTCGATGCGTTTGACTGCAGGTATAACTACGTGCACCTGCCTCTTGAACAACACAGCAAGAAGAGCATGTCAATGGCTTTCATCAATTTTGATGATCACGAGGCCAAGTGACAGTTGTTCGTTGTCTCTGTGTGTATGCGTGTTCTTGGTGCTTTTGTTTTCAGAACATGGGCGCGTTCCTTGAAGCATGTCAGGCTGCGTGCATGGCCTTCCAACGTTTGTTGTGCCCGAGCGATTTTCCAGATGCATTTGTTCCAAGCACCAAAGTAATCTGGGGTGAAGTCCATGGTTTGGGGCCGAATTTGGCACTTTTTCTGGTACGTTATGGGCTTGCGGCACTGGATCCTCCCTGCGCGCCGCTGGTCTTCATCAACCAACAATGCGTCCCTCAAACAAAGACAATCTTGCGGTTGCTCGATTGCAATTTGGCACGGACTTTCTAGACCGGGGTTGTCGGTCAGGCTTGTAGCCGCTAGTTACTAGTTGGATGTCGAGCTTAAGGGAAGCCAGCGCGTGGCGCATGAGCAGTTCGGCCGAGCACGGTCTTTGCAGAGGGACAGAAGACAAGGCAAACTTTTTAGCAGGATGAGTGTGGGACATGGGCGACCGAGAAATCAGCCTGTTGCAGTTTTATGTTTCCATCGCTTGCGATCTCTCGCCGTTGCGTAGCCAAACCATGTGCAACGTCTGGTCCTTCTCGCCTTGTGGCAGAAGCTCCTCTAAGGCAGTATGTCACTGCAGAGATGCTCACCGCGGCGAAGGCATGTGCGTGCCCAAGTAGCATCCTTCTTCAATCGCTGAGGCCCAATCAAACGGGCTCTTTTTCTCAAAGTCATGCGCTGCGACTTCTGCATGCAACGTCAACTCAAAGATCATCAGGGCATACCGTGCAGATCTCCAAATGTGAGGAGCAAAGCTTTGATCTCACACTGCTTCAAGTAAGCTTTTCAATTCTCGCGAGCGGCGTGATTTCATACCGGGAATTGTACTAGTACCATGTTATTGGAGAGCTTTCTACTCGGATATGGATGCAGAGCAGACCTGGACTGACAAAGAAGACAATCCATTTCAATTCCCTCATCTCACGTTTTCCTCCTCATGTAGACTAATTGAAATCTTTTGGACATCCTTTAGACTGAAGATCATGTGTTCGGCTTGGCGCGGCCTCTTTCTGCAATGGTGGAGGCATTTCTTCAGACGAGCGCTCCGATGGAGCTGGGCTCTGTTAGCCCTTCAACGCGAGGCGGGTGATTCGGAACTCGCTTCACTGACATTGCTCGATTGTTCATTGGCCCTGTGCACTAAGCCAGTATGGGGGCGTTCCCAAAAATAGGGGTACCTTGTTGGGAGTCCCTATATAATCAGGTTTCTATATTTGGGGGGTCTATCTTGGGTCCCCCTATTTAGGGAAATTACCATATAGGCCCAAGATCCGGCTATATCGGGCTGGATCGGGCGCAAGGTGAGATACAAGTCTCGACAGGGAGTTCCAGGTGGAAGACGCCACGAGCCATGAGTAAGCTGCTGGCAATTTTGAAGACATTGTAGTACGCTTTTGGTATGCAATGCATGTTCAAAGTGCAGGCAGGGATCTTTCAAGCCTGAAGTATCGGACCTAATGTTACCCTGACAACAGACCCCCACAAGGCTTGTTGCGCATTCTTGGGCTAACGCAATAATGAACCAGGGTGTGTGGGTAGGACTAAGTAGTGCGGGCCGTAGCACTACGTAGTAGTACAAGTAGAAGCAAATCTACTAAGATCGGGATATTCTCGGGCGCGGAGTTTGATACTGTCACCCCCTTGCTATTGCCGGTGGAACTTGTTTGTAGGTTTTCGGGCTCCCAACTTGTGAGAAAGCCAAAGTAGTTTGCTCAACTCCCCTTATCTATATAACACCAACTGAATTCTAACAAAAATCGATTAATTAAGATGTAATTTCAAACCAATTAAAACCCAATCCAATTCAATTGAAATCTGACATCTAGTTAAACTCTGACGAATATTTGTTCAAAATCAATGAAAACCTCTTTGAAAACTGAACACATTTTCAAAGTCGAATTAACGTCTCTCCAAAGACATTTGAACTTCGAATAAAATGCATCGAAAGGCTAAGGAACCAAGTTAAATGTATTTGGAATCAATTGAGAACCTTATTAATTGCCATCAGTTGAGATCGAATTCAAGTCAACAACTCCAGTCACAACCAATCTAGAACGCAATGAGAACCAAGTAACATCTAATTGGTTCTATTAAAAAGAAAATCACGCGAAATCCGATTAACATCAAGTGAAAATCTAATCAATACAGATACAGATCTAATGAAGACCAGTGCAAATCCAAGTAGAATCGATTGACAACCTAATCAGCACAATTGAAATATTAAGTCCAAAATCCTTTTTCAACCAATAAAGACAGCTTGAATTCCAATTAGAACCTCTTCAAAGTCATAGCACAACCAATTGGAATCCGATAAAATCAAGTGAAACCTAATCAACACACATGCCAATCTAGTTCAACGCGTTCAAATCAATTTATAACAGTTGACAACTTAATTAACACCATGGGAAATCTTATTCGAATCAAACTCGAGATCTGATTCGAATCACTTCAAAATCAAGTTAAGAAACATGTTTTAGTATTCCAGACCCCCCAGAACAAATCATTCAAGCGGCTTCAGGCCTTTGCTGGACTACCGACACAAAAGTTGATGGGTCGTACGTTTTCGTATGATCCCGAGTAAACGGTTTATATGGAGCTGGCGTCTCTTGGTTTCTGAACTTGGGCATCTCAGATATCTGGCCTTATAGGTAAGGCTCTGGTGCTAAAGCTCTGGAATTCACATCCATTAAGGCCTGAGGCCCAAAGCCTTTTCGCTTAAAATGTATCCTGGTCAAAGAGAAGAAGCTCACAACGCACTGGCAAGCTGTTTCTATTATGCTTCTCTCAGCTAAAACAAACCAAAAATCAATCAATCGACTTTGCTGTTAAGCCCGAAAACAAGGGTTTCGAACCCCTCAAACGATACCAGGTCATCAATAATTTCAGCACCAAAAAAAAGGAAACAGGGTCTCTTCTGTGAAGGGGGTCCAACATACATCTCCGGAAACGCATACCAAGTAGCATCAGCTCTTGGGATCTCGTGTGTATCGGGGCGGTCGAGCGGTCGATTGCAGATGGCCTTCGGACCCACTGCAAGAGCCAGCAGCGGCCTGCTTGGTGGCCGATCTTTAAAGTGGAAACTGAATGGAAACAGCACCTGGGCTACGCTGCAGCTGTGTTTTAGTAGGTAACATGTGCTGAGGCTTATCCGAGATGAATGCAGAGCTTTCCGAGATGCCAAGCTACCGAGAGAGTGGGCTCGTCGTGTATTCGCTCTGACAACTCCACAGGCGGCTCG